CCCAGTGCTTGGCACAGAGCCCAGTACATAACACAGGCTCGGTGTCTTGTTTAATAAATGAAGAGTTGAGCTGACATTGAAAATAGGAATATTGCTTCCTTGCAACGATTACCCCAACTAAATGGAGCAAATGTCATGTCGTTATTGCAAATGCGGTTTAGATATAGTCCATTAGAGTAATTTAGATTATAAAATTTTTCATGCTGAAATCAGCAGTCTCTAAGGAGGCTTTGAAGGAATTGGCTTTGCAAAGAAGTGCAGAGACTCTCTCTGACTTTCAGTGGTTTGACTTACAATTTTTTGACTTTATGATGGTGCAAAAGGAATACAAATTCTGTAGGAACCATACTTCAAGTTTTGAACTTGATCTTGTCCTGGGCTAGCAACATTCAGTAAGATATTGCCTCTGATGCTGGGCTTGGCGGTGAGCCACAACTCCCAACCAGCCATGCTCACGAGGATAACAGCCCAAACTGTACTCTGCATGGACTGTATTCAGTGCATTACATGAGACAGTAACACTTTATTACAAAATGGGCTTTGTGTTAGGAGATTTTGCCCAACTGTAGGTTAATGTAAGTGTTCTGAGTGCGTTTAAGGTAGGCTAGGCTAAGCTGTGATGTTCAGCAGGTCACGTATATTAAACTTTCCCCTTACAGTATTTTCAACTTGCAATGAGTTTGTCGGCATGTAACCCCCTCGTAAGTCAAGCATCTGTGTTTAGAACATATGATACATGTGACACAAACTCAGCCCAGTTGGGGCCAGAAGCAAGAAGAGCAAGGGAGACCTTTCAGCAGGAGGGAGATACCAAGCGTCTGGAAAGGAGAGAAAATGCACCAGCGCTGGAGAGGAGTCAGGACTGAGGAGAAAGGGAGGCAAAGACAACACCCCAGAACTAGCCTTCACCTGGGCAGGGGGAAGTGGTCTTTCTGGACCAACACCAGGTCTCCTGGAGTTCTGACTCTTTGGATTCCAGGAATGCAGAAGATTTTGAAGTCCCTCAACCAAAAAACAAAACAAAACAAAACACAGTGACAAAGTGATAGAAATAGTCTTTGAATTTGCATAAGAGGGCCTCTGCCGTATCTTTTCACTGCCCACTCTGCTTTCATGAGAAAGTTACACAGTCAAACTGAAAGACGTAGACTGAGGTCCAATATTGTGCCCTATTTTAAGACAATACACTTAGAGCAAAGTATGTCAATTTCTAAACATGTTTTATTGATACATAACACATACAGCAAAGTAGATTATGCATTAACAATACAAGTTTTAATTTTATAGCTCAATGAATTTTTTATATCCATGTATATAAAATATAAATACCACCAGATCAAGATATAGAACATTTCCTTTATCCTCAAATCTCTCCCATTCCTCTCCCAGTTAACCATTCACAAGGTTAACAACTCTTTCTACTTATATTCCCATAGATTCCTTTTGGCTGGTTTGAACTTCATATGAATGAAATTCTGTAGTCCAATTTTCTGGGGTTAGATTTTTTTTCACTTTACCTTATGAGATGGATACATGTTGTTGTGTTTATCTGTATTTTTCTTGTTTTCTTTTTAAATTACAGCTTAAATATTCCATTGTCTGCACATACCACAATTTATTTATTTATTCTTTTGTGGATGGAAACTTAGACTATTTTTAGTCTTTGTGTATTATGAATAAAACTATTTCGAACATACTTGTTTGTGTCTTTTAGGCATCAGCAGCCATTTCTCTTGAGCATGTTCCCAGAAGTAGAATTGTTGGGTAGAAGGGTTTTACAATGATTGGATTCAGGACTTTCCATGGTAGTTCCCGCTGCCACAAAGTGTATGAGAGTCTGGTTGCTCCACTTCCTCACCAACACATGTCATTGTTGGTCTTTTTTCATTTTAGTCATTTCATTGTGTGTCTGTGGTATCTTACTTATGCTATTGGCCACTTGCAGTCCTCTTTTTGGTGTCTATTGAAGTATTTTGCCCATTTTAAAATTGTTTTTCCTGTCATTGTTTCATTGGTTTGTAGTTCTTTATGTATTTGGAAGGAGTCTTTACCAGATACACATAATTGCAAATATATTCTTCTGCACCAGGCCTTGCCTTTTTAGTCTCTTCTTAATGGTGTCTTTTGATAAACACAAGTTCTTAATTCTAATGATGTTTAATTTTCTTATTTTTTAGAATGTTATTGCTCATTGTGTCCTATTTTAAAAACCTTTGCGTGGACTGCCTAGATCATAGAGACATTATTCTAGGTTTTTCTCTGGGACTGTTAGTGTTTTAACCTTTCACATTTAAGTCTATAATCCACTGGAGTTGACTTTTATGACTGGTATGAGGTAGGGATAGGGTAGGCTTTTTCCATGTGGACATCTAATTGACCCAGAGCCATTTGTTGAATGACAGTCCCTTCCTCATGGCATTGCAGGGGTGTTTTTGTTATGAATCAGGTGACCTGTATTTAGGTGAGTCTCTAGTATGTCAGTCTATTTGTCTACCCCTGTACCACATGATTGCTGATTACTGTAATTTTTTTAACCTTGATATGTGACAGGGAAAGTCTGGAAGCCTTATTCTCCTTATTCAAAATTATCTTGATTTTTCTTGACCCTGGGAACTTTCATGTAAATATTAATACTAGCTTGGCAATTTCCACAAATAAAGTTGCTGGGATTTTCATTGGGATTACATTGAATCTGTAGGTCAATTTGGAAAAAACTTGATATCACTATTAAGTTTTCAATCCAGGAGCAGGAAACATCCCTCCATTTATTCAGGTCTTCCATTTCACCCAGAAATATTTTACAGCTTTCTTAGGTAAGTCTTTAACATCTTACAGATGTACCCTGATTTAACCAGTCCTCTGGAAATGGGCATTCCTATTTCCAATTTGTATTTCATTCTATTTTTATAAGCACAATGAAATTAAAAACCACACATGTGTATTATCTTAAATTATCATTTTAAAATGCTATAGGTAAATGCTTTACATGTCAGTTAGTGTCTAAAACACCTCATTCTCCCCTTCTTCACTCTCACCTATAGGCAACAAACCAAAGGGTAAAGAATGACACCTCAGGGTGTCCAAGCCTTTGGTTTTTAAAGCCACAGCTGAACCACTGCAATCTATTTCCTGCTATGAAAATCTGCAGAGAACAATATTGCATGAACAGACCTGGTAGCCTTTCCAAACCCTTACCAATATGATCATCAGGAAATGCCTTCTTTGGTCATTTTTGCTGTAAATTCAAACCATTTCCCCAATGTCCACTTAGTGAATGAAAAGAACCTATCACTGAATGGAGGAACACAGCCTCAGCTTTGAAGAAATAGTTCTCCATACATTAGAAGACAGAAATTGTATTTTGGGGACTTTTAACTTTCTAAGTCTGTAGCTCTTGTTAACTGAACAAAAAGCTAAATTAACAGAAGTTCTAATCTCTGACCTTGCTAATGAATTAATAAACATGTACTTGCTGGTAAAATACAAGGTCTTTTGATAAGCATGTGAATAACTTTAGTTTCAGGTCTTCTCTCAAAGGTAGCCAACTCTTACAAGTTATTTTTTTATTTCAAAATATTAAGGAGATACAAATGTTTTAGGTTACATGGATCAGTTTTGTAATGCTTGAGTCATGGCTATAGGTGTGCCCGTCACAAAAATGGTGTTCATAGTACCCATTAGATTTCTCTCCCCCCTGTAAGTTATTGAACATCAAACCACGTGAATCTTGATCCATGTAGGGGGGTTATCTCTGAATTCCTATGGGCTATGTCTTTTTGCTAATGCAGCCTAGTACCATATCTATTGATTTTTAAATAATTTTTTATTACAAAGGTGAAATATGTCTAATATATGTATGTATGTATGTGTGTGTGTATGTTTTCTATGTTTAGAAAATGCAGATAAGCAAAAAAATCTGTAATTCTATCTTTAACTGATAACCACTGTGAACATGTAAACATTATATTTGTACCAATATTAACTTATTTAAAAATTAATATATATTTTTTAATTTCAAATTACTATTAGTATACATATAATTAGGTTACATTGTTTGTGTTTGTAAGATAAAGTCTGAGTTGCAGTAGAGTCCTTCACCCAGGTAGTGTGCCATACACCTCTACATTGTACCCTTTCGGTACTTACCAAGCCCCCTCCCTGCTTCTTGAATTTAACTGAGTTTTTCTCTCATGCGGGCCTCTAGTTGTTTATCTACTAGTTTCAACATAGTATTGAGTACATGGGATGTTTGATTTTCCATTTTGAGATACTTTATTTAAGAGACTGTTCTCCAAACCCATTCGGGAAAATACAAAAAAGAAAATACAAAAGGTGCAGTCTCCATCATTTTTTATGGCTGAATGCTATTCCATGGTATGCATATACCACAGTTTATTAATCCATACATTTGTTGATGGGAACTTGGGCTGTTTCCACATCTTTGTAATTGTGAATTGAGCTGCTATGAATATTCAAATGAAATGCCCTTATGACAAAATTATTTTTTTTCTTCTGGACAGAAATTATTTTTTCTTCTTCTGGTCTAGTACACCTTCCATTAGAGCTTAGCCCTTCGGTATTCTTCATACTTCTTTCCAAAAGGGCTATATCAGGGTGGTGCCCATAGCTCAGTGGGTAGGGTGCCAGCCACATACACGGAGGCTGGAGGGTTCAAACCCAGCCTGGGCCAGCTAAAAACACAACAATGACAACTGCAACAACAACAACAAAAATAGCCAAGCATTGTGGCAGGTGCCTGTAGTCCCAGCTCCTTGGGAGGCTGGGCAAGAGAATCACTTGAGCCCAAGAGTTTGAGGTTGCTGTGAGCTGTGACACAATGGAACTCTACCCAGAGTGACATAGTGAGACTCTGTCTCAAAAAAAAAAAAAAAAAGGCTATATTAGTTTGCAGTGGTACCAGCAGAGCTTATGGGGGTCTCTCCACACCCACCCCAACATCTGTAGCTTTGGGATCTTGTGATATGGGCTATTCTCATTGGAGTTAGGTGATATCTCAAAGTGATTTTTATTTGCATTTCTCTGATGTTCAGGGATGATGGGTATTTTTTCATTTGTTTGCTGGCCATTCATTTGTCCTTTTGGGAAAAAATCCTGTTCATGTCTCTTGCCCAATGATTAATGGTGTTATTTGATATTTTCTTATTAATTTGCTTGAGTTCTTTGTAAATTCTGGTTTATTATCCCTTTGTCAGATTCATAGCATGTAAATATTTTCTCCCTTTCTGACAATTTTCTATTTGCTTCATTGATCGGGCAAATTTTTAACTTGATCAGGTCCCATTCATTTATTTGAATTATTTATTTATATTATTGCTAATGGTGTCATCTTCATAAATTATTTCACAAGGCTGATGTTATAAAATTAAGTACAGTTTTATAACCCTCATAAGCTTAATACATTCATTAATAGTCAATATCTTTCTATGCCATGAAATATTCTTTTTCAGCATATTTTTATTCACCTATTAATTGGACATTATTTTTTTTCCATTTTTCACCAGTATAAACAGGTGGAGCACACATGCGTTTTATCAAAACTTCCTTCGTATTTGTGATTATTTTGCTAAGACAGTGGGGTTTTTTGTTTGTTTGTTTGTTTGTTTTGAGACAGAGTCTCAAGCTGTCTACCTGGGTAGAGTGCCATGGTGTCATCATAGCTCACAGCAACTTCCAACTCTTGGGCTCAAGATATCCTCTTGCCTCAGTTTTTTCTATTTTCTTTTGTAGAAATGGGTTCTCACTCTTGCTCAAACTGGTCTTGAACCCATGAGGTCAAGTGATCCACCCACCTCAGCAAGACAGTGGGTCTTAACCATCTGCATCAAAATTGCTTGTCATGGTATTTTTAATACAGACACCAACAGCTGACATGAGTCTAAACTGATATACATTAATGAGGATAACACTAGCTACTGTACATAGCAATCAAACAGGATCTAATGCTGGTTATTCCAGTAGTTAAATGGGTGGGTGGCTTTCTTTCTTATGGAGATGTAGGAATCCAAGTGTTTTCTGTCATGTGCCTCAGCCATTCTTAAGGTCCCTGGATGCTTCTGCAGAGAGATAGAAGGTAGGAAAAGAGAAAGAGCACAAAGTCACAGCCACATCTTATTTTTGGCCTAGAAATACATTATCTCTGCTTCCCATTAGCAAGATCAAGTGCCTCCAGCACCATGCAAGGGACACCAGGAAATGTAATGTCCTGCTGGACTGCCACCTCCCACTGGCCAAAACTTAACTGCCTCCTATCAGAGAGGAAGCGGGACTTTTGGTAGACTGTTAGGTATGTCTGCTACATTTGGTGAAACTATCTTGGAGAGCGATTTGTCAATATCCAAGTTTAATGTGACAAAGCAATTCCATTTTTAGATGTTTATCCTACAGAAATTCTCATGTAGGTAAAAAGAAGGGTATCCATAAAAGAATGATCATTGTCTTATTCAGAATTTTAAAATGTGAAAATTATCTAAAATTTGTATCCTTAAATGCCCGCAATGGTTAAATAAATTGCAGTATTTCCATGCATGCTATAGAGCTTTAAAAATATTAGATAGGTTGGAAGCTACTGACATGAATGGGCGGCCATAATATATGTCATTGCGTGAAAAAGACCCAGAACAGTATGTCTCATATGATTGCCCACGTGGAGTGGGGGAAGGAAGTAGAAGATGGAGCTCGCCCCAATTTTTAATTTTTTTTACTACTTTAACTTTTAAAAAATAAGACTAAATTATATGAGCATTTTCAAACACCAGATTTCTAGACCTGGCTCCCAGAACCTCCAGGGAATAGGCCTAGAAATCTGAAGTTCATAAAAGCTTCACAAGTAATTCTGATAAATTGCCAAGGCTGAGACCACAGCCTTAGGATAAATTTCTAAAAGTGAAATTATTATGTCAAAGGGATGAAAAATGTTAGGGTTCTTGATAAGAATTGCCAAATTGTCCTCTAGTAATGTACCAATTCACATTCCCAGCAGCAATGCGTAAAAAGCTCATTCCATCATCAACATGGAGTGGTATAAAGTGTTTTAATCTTTGCCAGCTGGATAAATGAAACATGGTATATTTGCTTTACTCGACAGAAGTGCTGGTTTGTTGCATTTGATTCTCTTTGGAAGATATTCTGTCCCATCTATCTCCCTCTTGAATTGTGTAGATAGAGTCATCCCCCATATTTAGTGCCTATCATAAAAATCACTTCGGGAACTTGTTAAAAATGTAGATCTGCAGCCCCCCTTCCAGTTCTGACCAAGCAGGGGTTTAGGAATGTGGCTGGGAGAGGTAGGATTCAGGGAGTTTGCAATGCAGAGAGGCATCCCAGGCAGGAGCATCAGAAGAAAAAAAGAGCAAGGGTGGGTTCAGGATGTGGGTATTTTGTATTCCCAGAGTAGACTCTCGGTGCTCATTTGTTGCCATGCCCTCTGCCCAGGCTGCAGGTCCCCTCTCCTCCCTCCATCCACCAAGTCCCAGCACACCTCCTGCTCTGCATGGCATCAAAACCCATGTCGATTTTTTTCCCTCTTCAGCACTCCCCCAGCACTTAGTGTCCAAACAACTCATCTTGACACTTAATCACACACCACAATTACTTTAGGTAGATGAGAATCAACTTACGGTAATAAAGATAAAGTCTAATGAAAGTTGTGGAAGTATTATTTTAGGATAAGAAGAAATGCCCAAGGATAGCCTGGAAAATAATCCTGCAATAAATTACATTAGTGTGGACATTAAATTAGCAACAATGACAACTCTTTAGAAAGTGAAATTTGAAGTCAAGACAGCCTTAAAGAATAGAAAGTGGGCAGCACCTGTGGCTCAGTGAGTAGGGCGCCAGCCCCATATACGGAGGGCAGCAGGTTCAAATCCCACCCCGGCCAAACTGCAACAAAAATAGCTGGGCATTGTGGCAGGAGTTTATAGTCCCAGCTACTGGGGAGGCTGAGGCAAGACAATCACCTAAGCCCATGAGCTGGAGGTTGCTGTGAGCTGTGACACCAGGGCACTCTACCAAGGGTGACAAAGTGAGACTGTCTCTAAAAAAAAAAAAAAAAAAAAAAAAAAGAGTAGAAAGTAGTGCTTCTCTGCTGAAATTAGAGGCTACTTTCCATCTTCCAAACTGGTAAATAGTAAAAAGCCTTGATGCCACTAGCTGTAGGTTGTAGATTGAGCCACTCACACAATTCGTATGATCAGACAACCTTGATGCCACTAACTGTAGGTTGTAGGCTGAGCAATTCACGCAATTCTTATGATCAGACAAGTTTAAGAAAGAATGCCACTCAATCAGTGTTCTCAACATTGTCCCCTTTTTAGAATCCCTAAAGACACATTTGAAAATCAGCCCTCCTGCAGAGATTCTGTTACAAGTGGATTATTTTTAAAGCTCCTTAGGTGATTATGAGCCAAGATTGAGGCCCATTGCCCAACGTAAGGCTAAACCATCACATGTAGATTTCACAGATGATACAGGACATCATTCTTGACCACTGCAAAAGGAGGGAGGTTTGAGTTGCTTTTTTAGTGGAAGTGATAGATTCATAACAACTTCTGTCTACTATCCACTTCAAGCCTCTTGTCATGTCTGCGAAGTCTGTCAGAGTAAATTTACTTTCAGTCATTCATTCCCTTAACAAGTGTGTATTGGGGAGGGTCCCTGTCAGGAGCTCTTCTGATGTTGGCATACAACAGGCAAGACAGTGGTGTCTCCTGAACTTGATGTGTGCAGTCTATAAAAGAGGACAGCAACTAAGCAAACAATTGGAAGTTACTACGCTGGGGCTGAGGCTTCAAGTGGGCTTCAGTGGGGTCCTACTTTAACCAAAAAGTTCATATGTGTGTACCATACCCAATATATGCCGCCTTTGTCTAAATTTTATGCAATATACTTCAAAAAAAAAAAAAACTTTCCTAAGTCTATAAGGTTATTCCTTCTAATTTATTGTAAACCTACACTGATTTTATTAGAAGATTATTTTCTAGGCTAATGTTTTTTCTTTCTGATCTGAAATAACATTTCTGAACTTTCCTCAGGCTGTTTTATTTTTATAACTAAGCTTATTCTTCTTTATCTAAACTTTAGCTTGCAAAGTAATTGCATAGCAGCAAGACCAGCTGAGGGCCATGAGAGTGTTTGGAATACAGCAGGTCATGTAGTGATTCTGTAGAGAAGGTGGTACCTTGTCATAAGTCTAAAAGCGCACTGCATTATCAAACCATTTCCTTCTTGGCAGCACCAAGGGGACAGAGGGTACATGCTTCATTGGGAATGAAAACATTGAAAGGGTACCACTGACTCTGTCAGTCACGGCCTTTACCAAAGCATTTCATGCTGTGAGTAGAGTACATTGCAGGCAAAAGCAGTTTTTCTGACAATCCCACAGCATTCAGAGTTTTTTCCATGATCATAAGGCTCGTTTCAACCAAACGCTCTTGACTTATACCTTACTCCTGTGAGAATTAAGTAGTGCTATGTAATAGGTGCAATCTGATCTGATCTTTTTCAAGTTACTCTGCTTAAATTGTCAACACAGGACATAGTATAGTTGAATCTCTGTAAGTTGGCCACCCATGGGTCTGTAAGAAACTAGCCAACATATGGAGGTGGTCAGCATAAGGAACCAGGCCTACTGTACTGATACATACATGGGGAGCATGCCAGTCTGTGAAAATTAGGTCAATTTAAGGAGGTGGTCAATGTAGGGAGATGGTCAACTATGGAGGTTCTCTTATATTTAAAATCAAAGTATATTTTATTTATTTATTTTATTTGAGACAGAGTCTTACTATGTGGCCCTCTAGTCTTACTAGAGTACCATGGCATCACAGCTCACAACAATCTCAAACTCTTAAGCAATTCTCTTACCTCAGCCTCCCAAGTAGCTGGGACTATTGGCACCTACCACAATGCCCAGCTATTTTTGTTGTTGTTGTTGTTGCAGTTGTCATTGTTGTTTAGCTGGCCCAGGGTGGGTTTGAACCCACCACCCTTGGTGTATG